ATGTGATGGCGAACTGGCACAGGACTAAAAACATGAGGGGATTATAAAGCAAAAGTAAATTGACACAAACAGGTGAACAAGACTAACTAATAATGAGTTAACAAGGAGGGTGGGACTAGACAATAGACGGGAGAGCGCATGACACAGAGAGACAACACAAGCCATGCGCTCACATAACACAGGACAAGAACATGCAGCCAATGAGAGAACTCATTAACTGCATGTTCATGACAACACAAGCACAACACTGAAGCACATAACAAAAGCACGTGGCTTGGTGTTTACAATGTAAACACCAAGCCACGTGCTTTTGTTGTGTGCTTCAGTGTTGTGCTGCATGTTTCATCCCAGCGCCGACCAAAACCGAAACCAACTGGATTGAGACGCTGGGAATAAAACACCACGCTGCAGACAGACGAAAACACAAACACGAGTACAAGAGCGCTCGCGCGTGTCGGAGGGACGCATAGCCCGCGCGGTCGCATCAAGCGGGAGCGCGCACGCTCTGCGCACACCCACGAAGGCGCGCGCACAAACACGGAGACACACACAATGACAGAAACAAGTGCTCGACCCAAGAAAACTTGAGCCGAGCACAACAGGACAGGATTAGACATGACTAGTGTCCGGATTCTGCCAACAAAACAAGAATTTACATGACCAGAGTGGCAGAACCCTGACATTGGGGGCCTCCAACAAAAAGGCTGATAAGCAAAAACAGAGGTGTTATATCCACACAATATGCATTTTAAGTTTGTAAAAGTTATCCATTAAAAAACTCTTAAATATAATTTTAGAACTGCTTCAGTGAACTTGAACACGTATATTAAAATCCATTAATTTTTACTAGATGTTTTAGTTTTTTTTTTTTCAAAGTGTGCTTTAAATGCTTAAAAAATAAGTTAAATCTTTGTAGACTAGAAATATTTGTACTGTATATAATGTTTTTTTATGCGGGCAATACAATTTAGATTAATTTTATTTAACAAATATAATATTAATCTTTTTTTTTATTCAACTATAGGGGTGCGGCTAGGTAGGGGGCCTACAAGACATTGTGCCCAGAGGCCTCTGAATTCCTAATCCTGGCCCGTCAGTGGGGGTGAATTCCAACTTAAAATACGTTTTCAGGAAAGTATGAACACTTGGACATTAAAATAAAATGTCTTTTATTGAATTATGTGTAAACAGATGAAGTCAGTCTTTCTCTTTTCTCTTTCTCTGCAGCACTGATATAGCTGGTGTTATGTTTAATAGTGTGGTACACCTGCGTCAACTCAGGTGCTGAGGCGAGGAGAAAATACTAATGAACCTAATTGTAAAGGGTGGAATTGAAAACAGATTTTGGCTAATTTATTTGTCATTATTTGCAGTAACACCTATCCAAACATGGAAACAGCACATACATAATCTAGCTACAAATATTAGATAGTAAAGTTTTCAAATAGCCTATTTCTAATTTAGAAATATGGAAAGTTGCAATTTACTAGTTTAATTTCTTTACATGGGTATTATGTTGTCTGTTAATGTATTAAAGGGTCACGAAACACCAAAACACATTTTTAGAGCTGTTGACAGTCGTATAAGAGTCCCACACTGCTAAAAACACTATTAGGACACCTATATCTCACTAAAAAGTGTAAATTGGTTGTTTTTGCATTATTTCGAGCAAATTCGTATTTCCGGTTTGAAACGATTTTTTGAAGCTGCGTCACGGTCATGAGATAATAGCGTGTATTCCAGCGTGTGGACTAGACGTCTGTACCAAGGCGTCCCGTATTACGTCTCTGATTGTGCTGCATTCATTCATGAGTATGGCTTGGTTCAAACCAATCAGCATGCTCCATTATGAATGCGCTGCAACTTCATTAATATGCATGCTAGCTTTCTTAGACTGTACCTGAAACAGTGTTCAGACGGCAGAGAGACGACACATGCCGTGTTGCCAAAAGTTATGGGAAAAGAATAAGAGTTGTTTGGGGATACGGGTCGCCAGTGTTGCTTTCATAATGTGAAGGTTTTGTTTCATTTTCTCTCTATGAGAGCGCTGCAGGACTCGCGTATGGATCAGTGCATGCGACGCGCGGCAGAAATGCGTTTGTTTGGAACATTTTTTACTCGAGAGCATTTCTCATCAATGGTGAGATCTGGATTTGCTGCTCGTCTCCTTTAAAAAAGACGCAGCTCCAGTATGTGTTGATTATCCTGTCTACAAATTCGGTAAGTGTGTGCAATCAGTACCCTTTCTTTGTTCGTTCAGATGGCAAAGTTATAGTTTGTATGGTCAGCAGTACTCTTTCAGTGTTTAAAGACAGACCTTAGTCAAAATGATTTCTATGTTAATTAGTTTACAGTACGTTAATATCACTACAATATTGAAAGATCCGCAGTAAATGCTGCTCTCTGTGTGTAAACACGTGAACACTTTAAGCAAACTATTGCCGACCGTCGTGTTAAATTTTCGCCACATTTTGTGACAGGATAGTCTACACACACACGGCTTTCTGACCTACTGAGTGCATCTGAGTTACAGAGAAATGCAGAGGCTTTTTTCTCATATACGACGTATATATATATATGAGGTATCAAACATCCCACCGTCATTAAACACACTCTCTCCCCTGCATGTTTGTTTGTTTGTACTCGGTCAGAAGCGCGTACCCAAATGGCAACTCCTGCCCATTTTTACAAACCCTGCCCATTTTTATTCAAACCCTGCCCGTTTTTACAAACCCTGCCCATTTTTATTCAAACCCTGCCCATTTTTATTCAAACCCTGCCCATTTTTTACAAACCCTGCCCATTTTTATTCAAACCCTGCCCATTTTTATTCAAACCCTGCCCATTTTTACAAACCCTGCACATTTTTATTCAAACCCTGCCCATTTTTCCTCCCCCTACACTCCCACCCAAACAAAGCTAGACACGCCCACTTTCCTGACTTTTTCCAAACTAGAGGTGTGAAAACATTCTGCTGAAACAGGGGGCTTCATGGCCCTTTAAATGTAATGTTTCATGTAGTAAATGAATGCTTATGTGCTTGACTTAACCTTAACAAACAAATCATAATATTACATTGGAATATGATCCACTTGCACTGTATTTACACAAGTTTTACAAATTACAATTTGTGACCCAGTGTGTGAAAACCAGGCCAGATCTAATTCTGAGATAACGCTTGATTGTAGCCATTCATTTCACTGTGATTTCAGTAGTTGACATGGTTTTACTCAGTTGATATTAAATACATATATTTGTATTATTTTCACAGACTGTTCTTTATTCCATGTAGTAAATTACAATAACAAAAAAGACTCCAGCTAGATTTTCACAGACTGGGTCACTGTCATTACCATGTCTGCTTCGGGAGAGACTTGGGGTATGAAGAACTGTCTGACTGGGCTTTGATTTTTGTGAGCTCTGTCATTGCGGGATTGCTGCTCTCCGGAGGCATGCTGTCACACGACAGAGCCACAGAGAACACCCTCCGACAAATCGTGCAGTTGGCTTGATAATAATTCACTCATAATAAAAAACACTCTGCAGCCAGGTAAACTGAGAAAAGTGTTGCATGCAGAATTGTTGCAAACAATTTATTTGTGTTGAATTTAAACAAACAAATGAAATTGAATAATGTTCAACTTAATTTGCTTGTTTAAATTCAACACAATTAAATTGTTTACAACCACTTAACAAAAAAATTGAGTAAATCCAAGGAATCATCTTTGAATAATTTATTTCAGTGTATATGTTTTCTCCCACTCTTTGCAGTACTTTTGCAGTTGCTTGCGTTTAAACGCTGAAACTTTCAGATGCTGGGGGTTACCTGAAGACGCATATGCCTTTACTCCCTGTCAAGACTTGACAGACTCTGCTTTAAAGACCCGCCCTCCTCACTAGACAAAGACCAATCAAACGAACGATGACATCAAGTATTACCCAATCAAAAGTAGGAAATGAGGCATCTTCATAAAATGTGTGTGGGTTGATTTGCATGAAAAGCTACTTAAAAAAATACAGGACAAAGCCTATTCCTTGTTGATTCAAAACGGGACGGGCAATTTCATTCTTAAATACGGGACAATTCCGTATTTTAAGGGATGGGTGGCAACCCTAGCTAAAATATGTGGACTTTTGTGCACACAGATTTCATGTGGGCCTAGTTATCTGTTTCTCTCTTTCAATACAAACTGTGTAACTTATCATTATTATTTTCAGGAAGATAAGAAAGTGGTAATACACTCACCACTTGAAGCCGCACATCATATCCACACTGTGTATTCAGCACATCCTCCTAAAGAAAGACCAAAAGAACATGCTCATGTTCAAAAATTGATAATGAAAATTGAAAAAAATAAATAAATAAAATGAATAAAAAATAAAAACAAAAATAATATTAAACACAAAGGAAGCACAGAACACAACGTTGTAAAACAAGCAGATGGTTAGAATAGGATGAAAAATGGTTGAGCCTTTTTACAGAATTTAATTTACAGGACAGATCTGAATTTTTAGAATAAAACATTTTTAAAATGATAAAAAGTTTGAGGAAAAAATCTTGCAAATAATAAAATGGAAAATTGAGATGTTGAAAATTCTAAACTATTTTGCAAATCTGACTATTTCTAAGAACTATCTAAATCTTGCAACTGTACTGCAACCCAGAACTGCATGCATTCTATTGTCACAATAAAACAGAACAGCGTTTCACACAAACCCCCATTACAGGTGCAATGAAGCGATTTAAAATGGGCAGTTTTATTCAATGTTTGATGCAATCTCAACCCAAACATGAATAGAGGGCGGGACATATAGGCCCTATCCCAATTCTATTTTTGCACCCCTTCCCTCTTCCCTTTAGCCCGTAAAACAGAGTGTGAAGGGGAAGGGCTTTAAAATGTAACCCTAAGAAACACTACAGCAATACAACACCTGCACACGTCATCATATGTCATCGCAATCTCCTACTACTGAAACTACTGAGAACACATCTGTTTAGCTGTGCCTTTACTGTATGAGCACTGTGCTACGTCCGACAGATTCCACTATTATGTTTTTCGGTTTCTTTTTCATTCTTTTATAACCTATTTTAACTCATTTTAATTTGTTTTTAAATCATTTTTATTGTCTGCATGTTATGTTTCTAAACTTGTCTTTTTTAATCCTGTTTATGTAAAGCACTTTGAATTGCCACTGTGTATGAAATGTGCTATATAAATAAACTTGCCTTGCCTTACTACATATGAGATCGACGATCGCGACTACTGTAGTTATTCCAATTATATTCTGGAACGTTTCGGTTTCTAGTGTGATGCTGGAAAATCTCCATTTCAACAACTATCCCTAAGCCCTAAACCTTCAAGCTAACGAAAATTGGGAAACCCCTACCCCTTTAGAGGGTAAGGGAACAGGCTAAGGGTTAGAATTGACCATAGTAGCTCCTTCCCTTTTCAAAAAAACAGCCAATAGCAATTTGTTTTTTCTTTCAGCTCAGCCAGCGAGAGTGATTGAACTTAAGTTCAACAAATGAAAAGTCAATGAGAAGCGTCTTGAAGGGGGCGGGGCATGTCAGAGCATTTGATTGGTCAGAAGATTTGATGAGAAACCAAAGTATGAAGTCAATAAAACTGTTGATCTACTGTTGAGCTTTACATGTTTACATCAGCATTAAACGCGAATTTTGTCACTGTTTTGGTGAACACTAGCTTATTGATGTCCTAAAAACTTTACTATATTTCATGGGATCTTTAAATCTTTTAGTAAGCTCTATGAATGAATTCAAATGTACTGAAGAAAATGTACTCAAGTTGGCGGTAACATTCTGAACCTTTAACAGGAAAAGAGCAAGAGGTAAACAGTGGAAATGATGGTTTCTGGAACTCACAGCAGGGTCTTTGACGCAACAGGAGAAGGGAACACCACACCTTTCCCGGCTCGGGTTGAAGTCGGTGCAGTTGAAATAGATGTTCAGGTTCCAATCATTCGGTCCATGAGCACCACAACACGACCACTGTTGGGACACATGACATCAAAAATGACATCATTAACCATCATCAACATCTTCATCATCATCATACATTAAATTTTTGGGAAACACTTTAGTTTAGGTCACAATTCAAGCCTACTACTGGTTTATTACCTGCCTATTATTAAGTGGCAACTGGTTATTAGTAGTTATATAGTGTAATCTTATTCTGTATCTTTAATCCCACCCAAAATCTAAACCCAACTTCCACTTTTTCCACTATTAGTATTAATATTGAGCTAATTAGTAATTTATTAAGCAGTTGGTTAAAGCTTTGTAAATATTTATGCGGTAACCTCCCGCTCTCTCTCAGGAAGCCAATACGGAAGTAACTAAAACTGCAATTCATCCGAAATTCCGCTAGTCCTGGCCACTCCTGGCTCCAAACTAGAGCAAATTTCAATTGAGCCCACTGTTAGAATGGCCAACTTTACAGCAGAAAAAAAAGTGTTTACAGCCTGGTACAAAACAAAGATTTTGGTTAATACAGCTAATATTACCCTTCATGACAACTGTGGGGGGGGGGGGGGTGAATTTTTTTATAACTTATCCGTTTCCTTTATATTAAGTTATATTAAGTTTGCATATTTAAGGGCGTGGCCACTTGAGTGACAGCTAGGTCTCGTTGGTCGCCGTCACGTCACCTCAGCTGAATCCTGCAGATTAGCCACTGAACTCGGCATATTTATCGTATTTCTGTGTTGTTTTATGTGGCTTTACACACTCAACTGCCTTTTGGACTTGTTTCCTACAATTATCAGATGGCATGGCATGCTGAGTGCACTTAATTGTGCTCACAAACCATTCACGTGGCCTCCGTTTCCCATGTGAGTAAAGTTATATACTTATATACCATCTCTATACATGTATTTGTTTTATTTAAGATCATTTATCGTTTATATATATATTTAGAGCTGTAATGCACTTCAGAATCTGACCAATTGATTAGCTGTAGGCTCTAGATCAGTCATCTGAAGCGTTGTCATACAGTGTTATGCTGGATTTCATCAATAGTCTTACATTAACTAACAGACTATCTGAAGTGTTTGGAAGTAATTTGCGTTTTCTCCTGTTGAAAAACGTCATAAGAACAATGTTTAGTGGCTCAATGTATTACAGCAGTGTTTTTAAAAGTCTAAACACTTTATTGATATAGTGTACAACCAAGCACAAGTGGTCAGAATACAAACGAGTCACAGGTGATAAAGTATTAAGCATTTCTCCCAAAGTAAAGTGTGTCTGAACCAGGTCCAAGCTAAATGACAGCAGGTGTCTGTAGCTCCGCTCACTCTCCGCCTCTTTGCCCTTGTTTGGTCTCCCGCCGTGGGTGTGATGATGCGCGAACAAAATGGTGACGGTTGGCCGCGCCTACTTGTGTCTTCTTTTGCGCTCTTTAGAAACCTATGGGTGACGTCACGGATACTACGTCCATATATTTTACAGTCTATGTTAATATTGTGAACTGATATTTAAATTAAAGTGTTACCAACTTTTTCCATCTATAAAGTTAGGACTAGAAGCTATATCATTTTTGTTTTTTTTGATGGTACGATATGAGGCAATACTGTTCATACCGAAAAGCAATAAAGTGATGTTGTTTCATTGGACACCAATGAGCAGGATATAAAAATGTTGTAATAGTTAATTAAAGCATTTACTAACATATTAAGAAGCATGTATTTGGATTTTATTAATGCATTATTAAATGTTGAACTTGATTGATGAATAATAAATGCTCCACAAGTATTGTTCATACTTAGTTCACAACAGTTATTACAGTAACTAATATTAAGCAGGGGGCGCCCAGCCTGCAGTCTGTGTGGGTCCTAATGCCCCAGTATAGTGACGGGGACTCTATACTGCTAAGTGAGCGCCATCTTTCGGATGAGACGTTAAACTGAGGTCCCGACTCTTGGTGGTGGTTAAAAATCCCAGGATGTCTTTCGAAAAAGAGTAGGGGTTTAACCCCGGCATCCTGGCCAAATCTGCCCACTGGCCTCTGTCCATCATGGCCTCCTAACCATCCCCATATCATGATTGGCTTAATCACTCTGTCTCCTCTCCACCAATCAGCTGGTGTGTGGTGTGCGGTCTGGCACAAAATGGCTGCCGTCGTGTCATCCAGGTGGATGCTACACACTGGGGTTGGATGAGGAGAATCCCCCCACTGTGTAAAGCGCTTGAGTAGGGTTGTAACGGTATGAATTTTTTACGGTATGATAATCGTCTAAAACAATACCATGGTTTGGCGGTTTCGCGGTATACGGTATGTTACAAATGTTACAAAATAATAGAACAGTGAAGCAAATTTGACTTTTTCCAAATAATATATTTTCAGTTACTATAAACAACACCACTTAAAGTGAACAAATAAAAAAATAATAAAATAATAAATAATGTGTCAAAGTCCAAATAAAGTCCAAATAAACATGGTGCAAATCCTCAGTAAAAAATAGATATAAATATTTACTATACTATAAATAGTTACATAACGAAACTAGATTCAATATGGAACATCCTCAGGTTTTATGTGCCAGCATGGATATGGTTGTCTGTGGATATGGATTTGGATATGGTTGTATGCAATGCAGACAAACAGCTGCACCTTCATTTGCGTCTTTTGAAAACAGCAAGAGCAGCAGTTCGTCTTTGCTGTGTCACTGTTTTGTCATGTTTCTGTGCTGCTGTGCATGCAAAAGTACTTAGTATGAGAATTATTTCATGCAAAACTTTTTTTTTGCGTTTTGAATGTATGCCTATCTCTAATTCCGTGTTGTTCAAAAAGCTCATTGTTGCTCCACAAACAAAAGCGAAACCTATGCTTATTGGTTGTGATATAGCGAGTTTGAACCAATCTGGGCATGGAGGAGGGACAATGCATCAATATATCATGTCTGATTTGTCCGGAGACACAGTGACGAGTGTTTCTTTGTCAAATCAGCGTTGTCAAATGTTGATGACGTAACCGCACTGATTCCGGAGCCTCTGAAAGTCCGCGAATGTTATGTGATACAGCACTGGAAAGCTGTTCTCTTCTTTATGCCAATCTTTGAATTGTATGAATCGGATCAGCAGATCAAAAGTTATTAAACATTTAAGAGCAATACTTATTTTTAGCCGCGGGCGGCTGTCTCGGTCTTTAAGGGTTAAAACCGTTGATATGCAATTGTTCATGGTATGATAATCGTGCACGTTCAAATCGTGGTAGACCGTCATACCGCTATATTGTTACAACCCTAGCTTTGAGTGCTTAGAAAAGCACTATATAAATGTAAGGAATTATTATTATTAACTAATGAAATCTTAATGTAAAGTGTGACCAAAAATTTTAAATATTATTATTTTTTTATAAATTCAAATATAAAAACATGGAAACAATGAGACAATTTGCAAACCATCAGCCCAGGCTTATTGAAAATATAAGCTACTGTTTTTTAAACCTAAAATACATTACTCCAGGTATGTTTTGTTGCACATTTTAGATGACAAATCCACAAGAGGGCACTGTCTGCATTTGTGCTAATCTGAAATGTGTTACTTTAAGTACATTTTGTTGTATGTTCCTTCTTATTTAAATCCAGGAGAAAGCAGAGCTTTTCATACAGATCAGCCAGCGAACTACTGAGCTAAACCCTTCCTTAAACCTAACAAATGGTGTTTTGAAAAGCAGACGTAAGAAAAAAGTGCACTGCGAACACATAGTTTTACCTTAATTTGCCAATTGCTTTTATCTCTTTTGTGGAAGCATGTTTTTCCGGTCTCAAACCCATGCACTCTGCAGCACAACACTGTACAAAATAAGCCAAGAGCAAACTGACCACACCTGAAAAGTTGTCCACATGGAGATAGACAGGCGTCGTGCTCATTACAAATGACAGATATTAATAAGATGTTTTGTGATGTTTATTTTGGGATTGTGCAAGGAACTGCATGAAAATAATCCTATAATCATCAATAATATGTCCCTGTAAACATCATTAGTGTGAAAATAATAAAAGTGGTTGTCGTCATTTTGCCCCCAGTGTTCATTCTACCTAGAAACTGCAGATAATTGTATGTTTAAGGACACTTTTTTTTTCCACAAAAAAGTATGTATTTCCAATGAATTCTGTGTTGCACAAAATATACAGATATGACTTCTTTTTTTGCCAAGTATGCAGGATGATGACTCATACTTTCAAGTGCACATTTATTATACCAGTCTCACTGGAAACAAACACCACAGTGCAGCATAAAAGGCTGACTCACATATTCTTGAGCAAAGTCAATGAGGTTCTGGAGGTCAATGTCGTCCCGATATGCTTTAACATTGTTGTTGATGAAGAAGTTCAGCTGGTCTTTGATCCAGTCTTTAAAGACGAAGGCTAAAATGCCAGCAGTGAGCTCCAGGAAGAAGATGAGGCCCAGAAACACTGAAAACTTGAAGAAAAACACACAGATTGAGGAATAAACACTTTTTTAATGGAAATAATACTTCATAATACTTAAAGCAGTTTTTCATTAAGTGCAACCACAATATAGAGCAATTGCAATATATACTGGAAAGGCCAAAGTAGCCCGTCGTAGTAGAGATTTTGATGATGAAGTTTTTGCATTGTTTTATTTGAAGACAAAAAAAAATTCCCTAATTTTTATATGACAAAATAATGTTGATGAATGGCATTTTTTGGCAGCTTAAAGACACCTCTCATACGAAGAATAAAGTCGCATGCATTGTTTAGGTGTGATTTTTACAATCACTTCAACAAAATGTCAAAACCCTAATGGTTTTGTGTGTCTTGTCAAACAAATCTGAGCTTTATTTTGTATTCACTATTGGATTCGGATCAGGTGACTGGCTGGGCCATTCTACAGCTTGATTTTTTTTTTCTCTGAAAGCATCTGAGAGTTTCTTTGGCTATGTTTTGGATTGTTTTCTTGTTGAAATGTTCACCCTGGTTTCATCTTCATCCTCCTGCTAATGTAGATGTTGGACTAAATCAGCTGATATTAACTTACACTGACAAATGGCAGAGGGTTGCTGAAGAACTACTGAGAGATTTTAGCTGCTGTCTGGGCTTGCACAGACTTTCTGCATCTCCCTTTCTTCATGTGTTCAATAGTTTTTCCCTATGCCATTTTATTTTATCACACATAACTTAATTGGTAAACTAATTCGATTTGTTTTCTTTTCATATATGGATTTCGTTGGTTGTTACTAACAACTGATGAAAATTTTAAGTCAACAACACCTTTAAAAATATGTTTTCTGAGAAAAATAGTGACGTACAATATTTATTTCTCCCACTATACACAGTAATATTGCCCAATGTTTTATTTTTAACTAAAGTTTGTTAAATTTTTATTTCACAGAAGTCATCATACTGAGATACAACAATTGTAATGTTTTTATTTATTTATTTTTAACAATTTTAATTTTGTTTGTTACAACGTTAATTTCTTCCTGATTTAGGGTCTTAAGATATTTTAAATTGTATGTTTGAGTAGTCTGTGCATTCATTAATTGTAATCATCTGATGTTTGTCAAGAAACGAGAGCACCAGTATTAATAGAATTACACTGGTTACCTGCGCACCAAAGGATAGATTTTAAGATTCTTTTATTAGCTTATAAAGCACTCCACAACATGACACCTTCCTACATCTCCGACTGTTTATCAAAATATCATCATAACCGTTTGCTACGCTCTTCTAGCACAGGACTTTTAGAATTTTACTCTGTAAATCTGATTCGATCTGGCGGCACTTCTTTTAGCCATTATGCTCCTAAAATTTGGAACTATCTTCCTCTTGAAGTGAAAGAATCCCCTAGTATTCACTAAATGGCCTAGGACCTAAATACATTACAGATATGCAGACTGAATACAAACCCAACAGATCACTCAGATCTTTAGGATCATATAAACTAGTAGTTCCAAGAGTTCAGTCAAAGCATGGTGAATCTGCCTTCAGCCACTACGCCCCTCGCTGGCGGAATCAGCTTCCAGAAATGATCAGATGTGCTCCAACATTAGGCATGTTCAAATCCAGACTGAAAACACATCTGTTTAGCTGTGCCTTTACTGAATGAGCACTGTGCTGCGTCCCACATATCGCACTATTATGTTTTTCTCTTCTTCTTCATTCTTTTATATCACATTTTACTTGTTTTTGTGTGTTTTTTTACTCATTTTTATTATTTGTTTTTATTTTTATTTTACTTGTTTCTTTTATTCCTGTTTATGTAAATCACTTTGAATTGCCACTGTGTATGAAATGTGCTATATAAATAAACTTGCCTTGCCTTGCCTTAGTATTTGTGAGGTGTACACCAAGTTTGTAAGGTGTATGCATTTTATCTACATGTAGGTTTATGTATGTATGCATGTATGATGTGTGCTTGCATATGTAAGGACTATTGTGTGTGTGAGATCGTGTGGATATATGCTTTTATTTTGTGTACATGAATGCTTTTACTGGAGTATGTGTCAAGTTTATGTGGTCTATTTTAATGCTTTTTTTGTTGTTGTTTATGAGGCACTTTGGGCTGCATGTACGTTGGAAAAGTGCTATACAAATAAAATTTTAAATTATTATTATTATATTTAATATATGTGACCCTGGACTACAAAACCAGTCGGGAAAAGGCCTGTCACAATATCTATTTTTTGTCGTACAAGAAGGAAAATGAATGAATGAATGACTGAATAATTGAAATGCACTGCTATTTTGTTTAGTGGAAACGGTTTATGTAAAAAAACAGGAGCATTTGCTTATTACCCTAAAATTAAAAGTTGACCAGCTTTACATATTCTGCAAATAAGGTTTGCTTTAATGAAACATGGTGTTCTTGGAGTTTCAAAATGCTTTAGGAAATGAAATGCCAAGAGAATTCACAACAGTGCAAAAACTCACAAATTTAAGCAGGAAAGTGTTCTCCCGCAGCGCACCGATGCATCCTGCAAACCCCAGGATGAACATCACCCCTCCCACAACGATGAAGAGCCAGACGGGGTCGAAGCCGCCCAGATCTGTGATGGAGGAAATGTTGGACAGCACTCCCTGTAGAGCACACACATCAGACAGAGCTGCTGAGTCCACATCCTGACCTTACAATCCTGTAAGTAAAACCCAAGTTTTGATAGTCTGAGACAAATTTGGGAAATCCTAAAATATTCCTGTAATCCTAGTCTAAAATCTGTGATCTTTGATTGTTTGACATTTTCACCAGCAGCTCATTAAAGGGATGGTTCTCCCAAAAAATGAAATTTTTGTTGCTGACCATGTCCATCCCTTTTTGACCACATATATTGTCCTCCACAGTCATCAGATCTCAATCCAATGGAGCACCTTTGGGATGTGGTGGAACGGGGGATTCACATCATGGATGTGCAGCCGACAAAATCTGCAGCAACTGTGTGATGCTACATTTCAATATGGAGCAAAATCTCTGAGGATTATTTCCAGTAGCTTGTTGAATCTATGCCACGAAGGATTAAGGCAGTTCTGAAGGCAAAAGGGGATCCAACCCCTTACTAGTAAGGTGTACCTAATAAAGTGGCCGTTGATAAGTGTAATTAGGAATTTCTTCTTAACTTATTCTTTCGATTATTAATGAAGAATTTAAATACGAATATAATCAGTCAGTTTTATTAAGGCAGGTGTGGAAAATGTTTATATCATAGGCACTGCTTGCTTTAAAAACAAAAAGGAATATGCTTGAAATCTCCTTGAACACAAAATAAACGTAATTCGCAATAATCACATTCAACACCTTCAGTCTGGTGCTTTTTTTCTGTGATTAACATTTAGCAAATTAAAAAAGGAACCACTTTATTAATTATTTACACAGAGCTACCAAGATGTTCCTTAATCGGCTGACATTAATACAAAGTGCCTTATGGCCTACACGTGTCTTTTAGCAGAACAATCAACGACTCAAATGGAGCAATTTCCAGGCTATTAATCAGCCAATTGACTTCTAGATTCATTAAGTCGCCTCGAATTAGTGTGAAGAAATTACATTCACCTTTCATGCATGAATACATAACAGCGAGGGTGACCTTTTCTGACAAATCAGAGAGAGAGAACGGTGACGATAAATACAAAGCCTTATTGAGCTGCGCGGCACTGCAAACAGAAATATAACAGACACATAAAACTGCAATGCAAATGAATTAAAGATGCCTTGCATATGCTCTCAATGCTTTAAGGGTTTTAAAGGGGCAGTTTACTAAATATGCAAATTTTTTATCATTTAATAAACAGTTACAAACGTCATTGAGTCTGAAAGTATATATTTCAGTTTTTAATCCAGGATTTATTCCAGCTGTGATGGCAGGCCTTTTACACGGATCTTCCAACTCCCTATGGTGTTATTTCAATGACAAATGTCATGAGCGCAGTATTACTAGTCGAGATCCCATTCATGTAAAACGAGCATGCAAATCTCTTTGCCCTGTCACTCAGTCAGTCAGTATGTAACCTTAAAGGGTTAAACAAATAATGCACAGCACTACTACGATTACAGAACATTTGCTCTGTTATAATTCACTTACATTTTATACGCTTTGGTGCGATTACAACCCGCTACTAAAAAACAACAACAACTGAATGTTTTGAATGAGAAGATGTAATGTAGCCGTGGCGGGAATGAATTTTAGTGAGGCGCAGCGCCATGAATAAATGAATGTAGCAATGAATGAGGCGCATATATATATATAAAGTATTAGTTGTGTTTTTAGGGTGACTATTTTACCATCAGTGCATGGACTGTGGATGGAAAAATTATGGCACAATGTACCCTTTTTGCATTATTAACGTGCAAAATAATATATAAGCCTATATATATATATATATATATATATATATATATATATATATATATATATATATATATATATATATATATATATATATATATATATATATATATATATATATATATATACAATTCTCGTCCATTTATTGAGGCGTCCACGAATGGACTTTTCTTGTGGGAGATGGTCTGTTACACTGTACACTATGATACGAGATATGCTTTTCTTTTTCATAATAAAATGAATTTATGACATTCTGAACTCTGCTTCTTTCATCTGCGCCTGAGCATCGGTGTTCACAGACGGATCGTTGAATAATTATAGTGACATTTCCAGCTGGAAAATCGTCAATCATGTATTAATCAGCAGCTAATGGGGCTGGATTCATTGTTTTTCTCCTTTCGCACAAGGTCAAAGTAAATTACAGGATTGTAAGATTGCTCCTAAATTGCTGTTGGCAGACTTATTTTGTCAGCAAAGTTGCACTTGTGAGTAACTTTCAAATTAATTATGCTCTTAAATATATATATATATTTTATTATTTGTTATGATGTTATTGTGTTGGTGGAAATATGAAATGGGGTTTTGAAGCATCAAAATAATAGAGTGGAATACAGTTTTATTTATTAGGATTTGAAATACTTGCTGTTTATTTATTTATTTATTTTTTTTTTATTTTTTTCCATGATTTTCATTAATAACATTTAACGGCCACTTTGTTAGGTACACCTGTCAAACTGCTCATTAATGCAAATTTCTTATCAGCCAATCACATGGCAGCATCTCAATGCATTTAAGCATGTAGACATGGTCAAGACGATCTGCTGCAGTTCAAACTGAGCATCAGAATGGGGAAGAAAGGGGATTTAAGTGACTTTGAACGTGGCATGGTTGTTTATGCCAGACGGGCTGGTCTGAGTATTTCAGAAACTGCTGATCTACTGGGATTTTCATGCACAACCATCTCTAGGGTTTACAGAGAATGGTCTGAAAAAGAGAAAATATCCAGTGAGCGGCAGTTCTGTGGGAGCAAATGCCTTGATGATGCCAGAGGAGAATGACCAGACTGGTTCCAGCTGATAGAAAGGCAACAGTAACTCAAATAAGTACTCGATACAACCGAGGTCTGCAGAAGAGCATCTCTGAACACACAACACGTCCAACCTTGAGGCAGATGTGCTACAGCAACAGAAGACCACACCGGGTGACACTCCTGTCAGCTAAGAACAGGAAACTGAGGCTGCAATTCACACAGGCTCACCAAAACTGGACAATAGAAGATTGGAGAAACGTTGCCTGCTCTGATGAGTCTCCATTTCTGCTGCCACATTTGGATGAGAGGGTCAGCAACAACATGAAAGCATGGATCCATCCTGCCTTGTATCAACAGTTCAGGCTGGTGTTGGTGTAATGGTGTGGGGGGCATTTTCTTGGCACACTTTGGGCCCATTAGTACCAATTGAGCATCATGTCAACACCACAGCCTACCTGAGTATTGTTGCTGACCATGTCCATCCATTTATCACCACAGTGTCTTCATCTTCTGATGGCTGCTTCCAGCAGGATAAGGCACCACGTCATAAAGCGTGAATCATCTCAGACTGGTTTCTTGAACATGACAATGAGTTCACTGATTCACATCATGGATGTACAGCCGACAAATCTGCAGCAACTGTGTGATGCTATCATGTCAATATGGAGCAAAATCTCTGAGAAGGCAAAAGGGGGCCAACTCGGTACTAATAAAGTGGCCGATGAGTGTAATTCAGAGTAATAATAATTTAACTGTCATGTATATTTAGTGGAAGAGCCATTCTATGACATAAATATAATCATTTTTACATAAATATATATCTCTAATACTAAATGGAAATGGGTTTTGGGTTATAAAACCCATATTTGGATATATTATTTTCACAAACATTATTTAAAATCTTTAAGTGAAAACTTAATTTGCATTTTAAATGTTCATGAGAATCACATTTGTTAAAGTAATTTACTGTGGACACTAAAGTTTAATTGACCCTTATGTTTAATATTATGTTATAAGCATATCTATCTATCTATCTATCTATCTATCTATCTATCTATCTATCTATCTATCTATCTATCTATCTATCTATCTATCTATACTAGTTATATTGCTCTTTTCCCCTTACAATTTTTAACAATTTATTATTATTATTATTATAGACATGGTGTACATTGCATTTGATAAAAAAAAAACAACTGTTTTGTAATGTCCTTATTTATTCTTAGGAGCGTATAAAACTTCAATACACAATTACAGTAAGAGCACTGCTGTCATTTTCGCTGTGACCACTAGATGGAGACAAACCCTCAGAGTCAACCGCAGTTAATCCTGCAAGTGTTCTGTCTATCTCATCTTTCTTTTGTTCAGGAGCGCTGACACAAGTAAAGCAGAACACCACACGAGCATCCCTTTCCATATGTTTGAATGCGCTAATCTGCTCTTTGACTCTTTCTCTCTGCACATACAGCATTAAACACCGCGACCGCCATCTGGACGCTTTATTAAGCACATTTGTTTTGTTTTTGGCTCCTTTTTTCCTTCTTCGGTGTTGTAGTCGCGGTGGATCTGTCAGTAAACTCTTATCAAACTTTGTTTTTGTAGCAGGGTGTGATTTACAGGTGGGTTAGGGTAGATTGACTCCCCTGATAAACCCTTGATCACTCCTGAAGGACGTCAAACAAGATGTATGGAGGTCAGCACTTTAATATTGAGAAGTAGTTTGCCCTTATCTGTATTTTAAATAATATTATTAATCATTCAAATTATAGATGAGATAAATATACATTTGACCACCCCTATAACGGCTCATACCATTGTGAACGCATAATCGCGCCATTCAGTCTGCTAAAAAGTAATTCAACAGTCAGACAAAAAAATAGGTAAAATCTCGAAAAATATCTGTTTGTTTCTACTTATAGCCTTAGAGTTAACTCAAATTAAATACATAGTAAATAGTTCTGAATCTGATCTATATTTTAAATAATATTGTTAATATTTAAAATAAGATTTGAGATAATATACATTTGACCACCCCTATAACGGCTCATACCACTGTGATGTAATCTCGCCAGTCTATGCGGGAAATTATTCAACAGGCTGAAAGCGGCAGATTGACAGCACCGATAGATAAAAAAAGGTCAAATCTGGTAAAATTTGTGTTTGTTAGCTTTAAGTAAAGTCGAAGTAGATGCATGGTTTGTATTGTTTGA